GCACTAATAGTCAAGAGGATTTCCCCCGCGCGCCCGCTTGAGGAAGGAGCAGTGGGCTCCGTGCCCACCAGCCGGCAGGGGCGGGGGCACCCACTGGCTTCCCCTGAAAAATCTCAGCAGAGAGGCCCCCAGGCTCATCCCTCCTTATTACCTGCCTTAGAGGGCTCAGCTGAGACTGCGCTGGGTGCTGTACATGTGACAGCTGCCCCCTTGGCGAGGGCCCCAGGGAACTAGAAGCACGAGCTGCTAAAGCACCAGGCTCCAAAGCTGGGAAAGACTCAGGGGCTTACATAACAGACAGAAGGCACGCACAATCTAACAAGGGGATAAGAGGCTGGAGGGGAAACTGAGGCATACAGGTTCACCCCAGGTCACACAGCAGCTTAGGGACAGAGCTGGGACTAGAACTGAGGTCTCCAGTGTCCCTGGGCCACACTTGCTCACAAACAGGGAGCACCACCAGCTGAGCCTCTAGCCTGTTTCTTCCCCGTTCCTGACGTCCTCCGCCCCCAGCTCCGGGCCACATCATGCAATCGGTGGTTGTGGGACTGGGGGAGGTTTACAAACTCTAGCTGCTGACCTCAGGGCCGGCTGGCTCGGCGCCCAGGCCCGGCGTCTCAATCTCCTTCTCCTCTCGTCAACTCCCCTCACTCTCTCTCTTTTCCCTTTTCCCCATACTCCAGAGGCGGAACACTGCTCCGGCCCGGCGCATCGAGCACTTGGTGAGTCCCCGCCTCAATTTATCCCATCGGACCCCAGATCCATGCCCTATTCCTGGCGGGAGCCGGCGGGAGACCTTCCCTCTGCCCCGGGGAAGTGGGGAGAGATCCCATCCCTCTCCCCCCCAAAGCTTGGGGGATGGCTGGATGCTGGGATTTTTGATAGGGAGGGCTACAGAAATGACACCCCCCCCAGAAAAAAATCCAGGGGTGCTTCAGTGGGGGTGGTGCCTAGTGGGATCTGAGTATAAAGAGCTGAGGCAGGGATCCCTCCCGCGCTGGCCTGCTCCCCCAGCCCTTTCCCGGAGGAAATAGAAGAGAAGTGGCTCCCAGACCGAACAAACGAGGTGCCAACAGAACTGATTTTCCACACACACCCCACCCCTGCCCTGCCTGCTCCCACCACGTGGGGTACAGGGTGAATGAACTTCCCCACCCTCACTTGAGACCCGCCCTCGCCAGTCCCAGGCATAACCCCCCAGCGTCGTTACTCTTTGCAGGCTCGCATGAGACGAGTGTGGGAGGCCTCAGCTCAGTCCCCCAGGGATGCACCCCTCCATAGCTGGCTGCCGGCGGCACCGCCCGCCCTCCTGAGCGGAGAGGACAACAGCCCAATAGGCCAACGGGACTGGGCTCATCCCAAAGGGGAGTGCAGGTGGGGGGCAGGGATGCTTGCCCCAGTCCTGTGCTGTCCCCGCTCAGCCTTTGGTCCCCAGGCCTGTCAGCCCAGGCCCTTTCCTTGGGGAGAAGGCAGATCTGGGAAGCAGCCCTGGGGGTTGCTGACCCATAGCGCCTGGGGAATTCAGCCCCGGGGAGCCCTCTTCCTGCCTTGTGGACTCTGCCCCGTCCATTTCAGTGCGGGGACGGGTGCAGGCTGGCCTGTGATGGAGAGGAGTGGCACTGCATGGGGCATTCTGTGTGAACGGGGGCCAGCCTCCCAAACCCTCCCCTCGAGACGTCCCCGACGCCTGATGGGGGGAGCTTGCGAAGGGATCTGGATTTTCCTGCCAGGACCCTGCATGGTTATTCCCACACCGGCCAGGCGTGGAAGGGAACTGGGCCGTGGGGTACAGGGACGGGGGTGAATGGGGTGATGGTGGGAAGGGGGTTGTTTGCCCATCCCCAGCCCTGCCCATTCATTAGGCCCTGCGGGGCGTTGCTGTAGGACCCGGGGTTGGGCCAAAGCTCCGTTGTGCTGACCTGTCTCACCCACGCCCTCTGACAGGGCCCAATGCCCCCACCTGACCCCTCCCCCTGCTCTGTGTGCACCCGGGCTGCCCCCACCTGGTGTCACTGTGCAGCCTGGGGCAGAAGAGGGACAGCTGGGGGGCAAGGGGTTAGCCTGCTGGTGCAGATCTAACAAGGGTAGTAGAAGTGAGTGGAGAGCTCCGCCCGTCCTCTGGGCTGGGAGCTGGGGCCCCCGCCCACAGCCAATTCCATTAGGTCAGCGGGACTCTGGGAACAGAGCGAGGGCAGCTTGGATCCTGGCCTCTGACATCCCCCCGGGGGATCGCGAGTTGCAGGCTGGGCGCGGGCGGGACCCGTCCCAGGCCCTCCCAGCTCTCCCAGGCCGTTCCCACCCTGCTGCCCGTCCCCACCCCCCAGCAGCCTGGACCCGGGGCTGTGGTTCGGTGCCAAGGAGTTGACGGGGGGCCACGTGGGCCCCAGATTTCCCCACACTGACCAGTATCCCCCCATCCCTCTCGTCCCCCAGGGCTCCACCAAATCCCTCCACACCTCGAAGCAACGGAGCACGCTGCCCAGGTGAGTGGGTGGGGCCGGCAGGGTGGGGGAGGGTACAGCTCGCAGCCTGCTCCTTGTCCGCTGCCCCCCCCATGGAAAGGGGTGTTGGCTCAGACACCGAGTGTGGGGATCCACTGCTGGTCTGGGGGTCCATCAATGGGGTGCATGAGGTGGGGTAAAGCCAGGCACCCTGCTAGTTGGGGGCGATACCCCAGGGAGCTGCCCGCCCTGCAGGGGTGGGGTACCCCCAGGAGCTGGCACACCCCGACACTCAACCCCCTATCCCCCCCCAGGAGCTTCAGCCTGGACCACGTGATGGAGCGCAAGTACGACTTTGACCTGACCTACATCACTGAGCGCATCATCTCCGTCTTCTTCCCCTCCGCCCTGGAGGAGCAGCGTTACCGCGGCAACCTGCGGGAGGTGGCACAGATGCTGAAGTCCAAGCACGAGGATAAGTACACGGTAGGGGCCGGGGAAAGGCAGCTGGGGCTAGTGGTTAGAGCAAGGGGGCTGGGAGCCAGGACTCCTGGGTTCTTTTCCCATCTCTGGGGGGAGAGGAGTCTAGTGGTTAGCGCTTGGCGGACTGGGAGTCAGGTTTCTGCCACTGACTTGTCCTGTGACCTTGAGTGAGTCTCAAGCGTCTATCTGTGCCTCAGTTTCCCCCCCCCGTGTGGCTGCACAGGGGTAACAATGTCAGTCGCCCTGCCCCCGGCGAGGCTGTGAGGTTTCCTCAGTGTTCACGTGGGATTCGTGCTCCGGCCAGTCACCGGGGCCCTCCCAGCCGGGCAGCAGGGCGGGGGGTGCTGCAGCCAGGGCGGGGATTTGGGCATTTGTGTCTGAGGGGCTGTGGGTTGGAGGCTCAGCCCTGGGCGTGGGTCTCAGACCAAGGCCCGTCGGGGCTGGAGGGTTTGGGGGTCGCGGGATGGGGCAGGGCCCCTGAGCTACAGTCGCCGTCCCGCAGCCAACGAGCTCGCTCTCTGCCTTGCAGCTTTTCAACCTGTCCGAGAAGCGCCGTGACATCAGCAGGCTGAACCCCAAGGTGAGAGGGGAGGGGCACCCCACGTCCTCCGGGGGATCCCTGGGTTCTCCCAGGGCGGGAGCAGCGGGACCCCACTCTCTAGCTCTGAGCTGGCCCTTCCCAGCTGGCTGTGTTGGGGGGGGCAGGAATCTAACCGCTTGCACCCCGGTGTGGCGCAGGTTCAGGATTTCGGGTGGCCGGACTTGCACGCGCCCCCCCTGGACAAGATCTGCTCCATCTGCAAAGCCATGGAGACCTGGCTGAACTCGGACCCCCAGCACGTCGTGGTGCTGCACTGCAAGGTGAGGAGGCAGGGCGGAGCTGGGGGGGCTGGGGGTGGGCGAGGAATGGGGGGGAGGTTGGGGGGGGCAGAGCCCTGCCCCCCGGCGGGGTCATGCTGGGTCGGGGATTGGGCTGCAGCAGGCACTCCCCCCCCCCACCCAAGGGGCCCTGACAGTGCTGGGGGGGAGGCTAGGGGGGCGCCGGCCCTGACACTCTCACTGCTCTGCAGGGCAACAAGGGCAAGACGGGCGTCATCGTGGCCTCCTATATGCACTACAGCAAGATCTCTGCCAGGTATGGGGTGGAGGGGGCGGGGAGCTCCCCTCTCCGCTGACCCCCTTCCCTCGGCGTGTGCTTGGCCCCTTCCCCTATTTCCACCCCACCCCCCCGGCTGCTTCCCTTCAGCCCAGCTCCACTGCCCCAGGACAGTTACCTCCCTCCCCCAGCTGTTTCCACCCCCACTCCCGCTCACCCCAGCCTCTCCCCCCGCCCAGGCTGTTCCCCCGCACCCCCTCACTCCAGCCTCCCCCGCTGCCCAGGCTGTTCCCCCCCCACCTCCTCACTCCAGCCTCCCCCTCTGCCCAGGCTGTTCCCCCCACCCCTCACTCCAGCCTCCCCCTCTGCCCAGGCTGTTCCCCCCACCCCTCACTCCAGCCTCCCCCTCTGCCCTGGCTGTTCCTCCCACACCCCAGGGCTGTTCCCCCCACCTTTCTTCCGTCCCTCGCCCTCCTCTGCTCCCCGCTCCCCTGGAGCAGAGTCAGGCCCCAAGCCCAGGGGTTGCTCTGGCGGCCGGGGGCTCCCGCGCTGACCCCTGTCCTCTCCCCCCCAGCGCGGACCAGGCGCTCGGCACCCTGACCATGCGGAAGTTCTGCGAGGACAAAGTGGCCGCGTCCCTGCAGCCATCCCAGCAAAGGTGAGGGAGGGGCAGAGGGGGATGTGATGACCCTTAAGGGACAGGGGAGGGTCCCCACTGGCTGGCCCCTCCCCCCAGCTCCACGGCGGGGGGCAGGACCCTGGGGCTGAGCTGTCCCCCCTGAACCCGCAGGTACATCAGTTACTTCAGCGGGCTGCTGTCGGGCACCATCAAGATGAACAGCAGCACCCTATTCCTGCACCACGTCCTCATTCCCGCCATCCCCAACTTCGAGACCAGCGGAGGTGAGTGCCACAATCACACGTGCAAAATGTGGGCGCCCACGCACGCAGGTGAACCAGCCATTGTGCGCAAAACAAGCGCGCCCACATGGGTGAGCCTGCCATCGTGTGCAGAATGGGCACACTCACACTCACACACAAATGAGCACGCATGTGTGAACCGGCAGACCCGTGCAAAATGTGTATGTTTGCGTGCACATCAACCCAATGGTGCGGGCAAGCGAGCACTCGTGAACATGCTGATGTGTGCAAAATGGGCACACGTGCACACACACTAGCCCATCGGCATGTGCAAAATGGGCACGCTCACACGTGCGAATTTGCTGGGGTGTGCAAACTGGGCGCGTTCCCAGGCACAAACCTGCAGGCATGTGCGAAGTGGGCACGCGTCGCGTCGCGCATCACCAGGAGTCCCAGGGCACACACACGTGTGAACCGGCAGTGCTCTCCTGGGTGTGCAGGCACACACCCAAACGGGCCTGCACGCATGGGTGTGGCATTGCACCCTCGCCAGGGAGCTCACGCCCCTGTGTCCTGAGCCAATCACAAGGGCTCCCTGCCAGCCTGGCTCAGCCCTTGGCTGGAGAAGCCTGCCCCCTTACCCTCTGCCCCTCTCCCCCTCCCTTAACCCGTCCCTCCCGCTCTAGGCTACCAGCCCTTCCTGAAGATCTACCAGTCCATGCAGCTCGTCTACACCTCGGGGATCTAGTGAGTATGAGGCGCCTGCTGCATGGGAGCTGCTGGGCCCGTCCCCCAACGCTCTGACCCCAGCCCCGTGTTTCTCTGCCCTCCCTTACAGCAGTGTCCCGGCCCCCGGCCCCCAGAAGCTGTGTGTCACCCTGGAGCCAGCCCTGCTGCTGAAAGGGGACGTGATGGTGAGTACGGCCAGCTCCAGGAAGGGGCTTCCCGGGGGGGGCTCTGCCGGGTAAGGAGTGGGCACAAAGTCCAGAGGCCCTCTCCCCCCGTCTCTGAGCCCGGCAGGGAGGAACTGGAGAGCTGAGGCTCTGCGAGGCAGGCAGTGGGTATGAGCATGGGGTTGTGCACACCCAGGATGGGGGGGGTGCAAATGGGTGTACACATGGGGGGTGCCAGTGTGCACAAATGACGGGTGAGTGTGCCCATGTGTGTGTGCATGGGGGTATCGGTGTGCACAATGGGTGTGTACGAGCGTGTGTGCATGGGGGTCTGAGGGGGTGTGCGCAAGAGGGGGGTCTCACGGTGCACAATGGGTGTGTACGAGCGTGCCTCTGTGTGCACATGGGGTGATCCACGTGTGTGGACGTGCACAGATGTGGGCGTGCATGAGGGCCTGTGGACGTGTCCATGGGTTTGCATGTCCCTGGGGGGGACTGGGGGTCCCCGTGTCAGTGCTGACTCCACCTCCACCCCCCCAGGTGAAGTGCTACCACAAGCAGACCTGCAACTCTAACCGGGACGTGGTTTTCCGCGTCCAATTCCACACGTGCACCATCCACGGTGCCCAGCTCTGGTTCGGGAAGGACGAGCTGGACGAGGCCTGGCAAGGTGAGCAGGGCAGGGGACGGTGCCACGGGCAGCCTCCAAACGGGGCAGCCACCTCCCCGGGGAGCCGACCACTCCCGGCCCTGGGCTGCTCCCGGTGCACCTGCATGCGGCTCAGCACCTCTGTATGCACCTCATGGTAGTGACCGGTCCTGCCCCAGTGCCTGGGACCCTTCTGCTCCCCCTGTCCCCCAGTGCCTGGGACCCCTCTGCTTCCCCTGGCCCTCTCGTACCCAGGACTCCTCTGCTCCCCTGCCCCCTTATACCTGGGTCCCCTCTGCTTCCCCTGGCCCTCTCGTACCCAGGACTCCTCTGCTCCCCTGCCCCCTTATACCTGGGTCCCCTCTGACTTCCCCTGGCCCTCTCGATACCCAGGACTCCTCTGCTCCCCTGCCCCCTTATACCTGGGTCCCCTCTGCTCCCCTGCCCCCACTCGTACCTGGGACCCCTCTGCTCCCCCTGCCCCCCAGTGCCTGGGACCCCTCTGCTTCCCCTGGTCCTCTAGTACCCAGGACCCCTATGCTCCTCATACATGGGTCTCCCCTGCCCCCTCATACCCAGGAACCCTGCCCCCTTATGCCAGACCCGCCGCTCCCTCTTGCTGCACCCTCAGCCAGTAGCTCCTCTGTTCACAGCGCGGTACCCTCTCCTTTCCTCTCCCCAGACGAGCGCTTCCCCTTCGAAGCCAGCGTGGAGTTCGTCTTCTCTGCTGGCCCCGAGAAGATGAAAGGTGAGGGGCTGGCAGGCGGGGAGGAGGGAGAGTCCCCCCCACAGTGGTAGCACCCCCTAAGCCTCTCCCACCCCGCTGCGCTGAGCCAAGTTCGCCCAGGAATCCCGCACCCTCTGGGCCAAGGCGGTAGGACTCACCCCACCGCACCGAGCCAGGATCGACATCTCCAAGCCAGAAGTCCCATTGCCCTGGGCCAGGCTGGGAGGACCTCCCCTGAGCCAGGAGACCTCCCCCAGCTGGTGGGAGCCCCCCCAATAGCCAGGTGTCTCCCTCCAGGCCAGGCTGGTCTCAGCCCAGTCCCTGGCTGAGGGAGCAGCCCACACAGGGGGGGCTGCCCCAGCCCGTGGCCCTCACCGGTTCTCTCCCCTCAGGCCTGGAGACCTTACGGAACAGCCCGTCCATCACCGTGGATTATAACATCTCCGATCCCATGGTGCGCTGGGACTCCTACGAGAACTTCAACCTGCATCACGAAGACAGCCTGGAAGGTACGGCCGGGCACTGGCAGGGCCTGGGCACAGCCACCCCCAGCCACCCGCTCCCTCATGCCACAGGAGCTACTGGCCAGGGCTGTAAGGCCGCTCAGACAGAACAATGTGACTACGGGGTTGGGTGGAAGTCAGGACACCTGGCTTCTCTTCTCAGCTCAGCCGCTGCCCCAGGGCCTTGGCCAAGCTGCTGCCCCTCAGTTTCCCCTCCCGCCCTTTGTCTGTTCAGACTGTGAGGCGGGAAATGGTTTTCCTGTCCCACGAATATTTTCCAGAGTTTCAAAAATGTTCCTCTCTCAAATCAGGATGAAAAGTCAAAACCTCGAAAAATTTTGTGAACCGAAAAACCGGGGAAAAAATGTCGGTTTGGGCCAATGGACCCAATGGGGCAATGTTTTGTTTCGATCACTCGGAACCATTTTGGTTCAATTTTGCCCTTTCTCCCCCCCCCCCATGTTTTTTTCACTCTAATGAGCCAAAATTCCAGCACAAAAAGTCATTTCAAACCGGAAAACTGGAACGTTTTCTTTCGAAATTGTCAAAACTTTTTTCCAGACACGGCTTGAGCCGGGAGATTAGCCGCCTTCACAAACCGTTTCCGCTAAATCAGCATTTGTCTACCGAATTCCCCCCACACGCCATTTTGTCAGTAAATCCCCGACTGGCTCTAACGGCGATCACTTTGGGGCTAGCTGCTTGTGGCATATGTACAGCACCTAGCGCGGGGAGAGAAGGGGCGGCAGCAAAACCCACCCCTGAAGCAAGAGCCAGTGTTTGTGTAGGACCTACAGTTTTGTAGAGAGAGATTCCAAACCAAGGGGAGTGAATTGACAAAGGGATTGACGTGGGGGTCTGTGATGGCTCCTCTGATTGGGGGGAGGATTTAGGGGGCTGGGTTGGGGGGCGGGACATGAATGGTCTTAAGCCACCAGGAGATCTGTGGGAACATAATCGTTCCGGGATACACCTCTACCCCGATATAATGCGACCCGATATAACACGAATTCGGATATAATGTGGTAAAGCAGTGCTCCGGGGGGGCGGGGCTGCGCACTCCAGTGGATCAAAGCAAGTTCGATATAACGCGGTTTTACCTATAACGCGGTAAGATTTTTTGGCTCCCAGGGACAGCGTTCTATCGGGGTAGAGGTGTATTTGGTCTTTGGGAGGAAGGGTTTTTCCTGGGGTCTAGCACCCCCTGGTGGAACGAGTCTAAGTGAATTTCTGAAGTCATAGAATCATAGAATATTAATTAGGGTTGGAAGGGACCTCAGGAGGTCATCTAGTCCAACCTCCTGCTCAAAGCAGGACCAAACCCCAGACAGTCATGCTTGTGTGTCTGTGAGTACACGTGTGTGTTCATGTCTGTATGTGCCTCTTTGGGTTGTGTCTCTATATGTGTGTGTGTGTGTGTGTGTGTGTGTAACTTTACGTGTGTGTAACTTTTTTTTGTGGGGGAGGGTCTCTGTATTCATGAGGTTGTGGGTTTCGGTTTGTGGCTGTCGGGGAGATTTTCAAAGGTATGAATGGGAGTTGTGTGTGTGTGTCCCTGCTGCCCCCTGCTGGAGGGGATGAGTCCTGCAGAGTGAGTGAGTAAGTGTGTATGTGTGTGTGTATCCTCGCTGCCCCCTGCTGGAGGGAATGAGACCTGTCTCTGTGTGCATGTGTGAGTGTGTCTCTGCTGCCCCATGCTGGCGAGGATGAGCCCTCCTCTGTGTGTGTGTGTGTGTGTGTGTGTGTGTGTGTGTGTGTGTGTCTCTGCTGCCCCCTGCTGGCAGGGACGAACCCCACTCTGTAAGCATGTGCAGGTCCCTGTGGCTGATCACACGTGTTGGCATCCCTGTGCGGTCGGTGCCCAAGGAGAGCCCTGACTGGGCCCTGCTGTTTGCTCCCCCACAGACATGTCCCACACCCGCGGCCCCATCGACGGCAGCCTCTACGCCAAGATCAAGAAGAAGCGGAACCTGAGCGGCTTCTCCGGCGGCGGTGGGAGCCCGGCCAGCGCGGACTCCACCCAGCAGGGCAGCCGCTTCCTCTCCGTCAGCAGCGACTCGGGCCACTCCTCCATGCTGGCCGAACCCTCCCCTCCCGCCAAGCTGCTGCCCACGCCGGCCGAGAGGGAGGAGCTGGACAGGCTGCTCGGGGGCTTTGGGGTCAAGGCCAGGCCGGAGACCCCCAAGCAGCCAAGGGGGGCATCCCCGCACCAGGAGCTGGGGGGATGCCCGCACAGCAACGGGGCCAGGGACAGGGAGACGGCCATCTTGGAAGACGAGCTGGTGGAGATGAGCCCCTTCGGGCCCCTGGCGTACCCCAGCCGGCGCCCCGGCCTAACCCGCCACTGCTCCTGCCGCCTGGGCTACCGCTCGCAGAGCTGCCCGGGCACCCACAGCCCCGAGAGGCTACCCAATGGCGCCTACTACAGGCCAGAGGGCACCTTGGAGCGCCGGCGGCTGGTCTACAGCACCAACGGGGTCCACTTGCACCCTGCCGAGGGCTACCCCTGCCTGCCGCAGGAGGCCGGGCCAGGGGAGAAACGGCGGGTGTATCGCTCCCTCTCCGAGGGCCTGCAGCCCCTCGCCCACCCCTATGCCTACGAGTTGCCCCACAGCCCCAGTAAGTGGGAGGACCTGGCCTACAAGCCACCCAGCTACCGGGAGGTGCTAATCCTGGAGGAGGAGCCCGTGTGCGGCTTGGAGCTGTGCCCATGCCAGGACTGCCAGGAGAAGGCTCACGAGGAAGCCGGCCTGCCCCCCACCACCGCCTTCTGCGGCCTGCACCTGAGCAGCCGCGAGCCCGAGGAATGGGCCCACGAGAGTGCCAAGTCCCCCCTGTCCCGGGCAGGGCACCCCGGCCAGCCCGGGCCGTTGCTGATGCCGGCCGCCTACAGCCAGCGCCCCCGGGGGCATCACGAGGTGTTTGACTTCGAGCCCGCCCATGCCAAGATGCCGGCGCACTTCGCCCACGGCTACCCGGCACAGCCCGTGCCCGGCGCCCATCAGAAGGGCCACAAGGGCATGGAGCAGAGCCTGGAGCCCTTCCACTACCGCTATGGCCCACCCTACCCCGCCCTGCTGCCCCATGGCGCCTACGCCTGCGGCCCCCCTGCCCAGTGCCCCCAGCCGCCCTTCTACGGCCGGTCCCCAGCCAGGCCCTGCGCCTCCCCGCCGGACATGCGGCCGTACGCGCCGGGCTACCACTCGCCCCCGTCCGGCTCGGTGTCCCCCGTCAGCTCGGCCTACCCAGCCTCCAGGAACCAAAGCTACGAGCCCCAGTCCCCGGAGACAGGCCAGGGCTACCCACACCCGGGGCACCAGGACCGGACCCCTGCTGGTGAGTGCCTAATATGGTATGGCACCGGCTACCAGGCCTGGGGGAGGGGGCTAATGCTGGGGACTGGCTAATGGCCCTGGTGAGGAAAGGGCTGGTGTGCTGCTAATGGGGGGAGGGGTAATCTCGCCAACAGCCAGGCAGGGGAGGGGGTTGGTGGTGGCTAAAAGGGGATGGTGGGTGGCTAATAGCTGTGGGGGGAGGGGCTGGTATGTGGCTGATGGGGAGGGGGGGGAACTGGCTGACAGCCAGGAGGGTGGGGGGCATGGCCTGCCTTTCAGTCCAGCTGCTCTCCCCCCCCAGAGATGCAGAGCCCCGGGGAGGAGGCGCCCTGGCGAGACGTCCCTGGCTCCCTGCGCCAGCTCCACCGGGAGGCTCCCGCCGCCTGCCCCGCGCCCCCCGAGCTGTCGGGCCCGCCTACTCCTCTGCACACCAGCAGCCCGGTGCAGAGCAAAGACAGGTGCGTGCCGCCCCGTGCGCAGGGCGGGGGGTGGTTATGGAGTCACCCATGGGACAGAGCTGGCTCCGGCCTGCCCAGCCAGGACCCAGAGATCCCAGCGAGGCCCAGCGGCAGAGGGGTCCAAGGGCCAGAAGTAGTCTCCCCCCAAACACACACACACTCAAAGGAGACCAGCTCCCCTGCCAGCCCCCGCCACACCCCTTGATGATGCCCCCAGTGCCAGGGCACTGCTCCCCCTGCACCAGGTGTCCCAGGGTCGAAGCTCCCAGCCCCTGGCCAGGGGACAGTCGTCCCCACTAGAAACAGCCTCCTAGGGGTCCCCTGGGGCTGCCCTGGCACAAGCTTCTATCTGCCCCCTGTGGGCTCTTGGCCCCAGTGCTGCGGGTTGTACTGTGCCCTGCCCCCCATGTGCTGGCTGGTGCCTAGGGTGATACTGAGTGTGCCCCCTCTGTGATTCCACAGCCCTGCGCTGCCCGAAGGCGGCACCCCGGCTGCCAGCCTGCAGGAGAGCTCGGCGTGCTCCAGCCCCGAGGACATGGCCCCACCCAGCGCCAAGAGGACCCCAGAGATGAGCTCAGCCCGGCCAGAGGCCGCACCCAGCCCCCCCGCAACCCCCTTCTCCGACACAGGCCTGTGCCCATGGAGCCACCTCCAGGGCCCAAGCCAATGGGCCGGCCCCAAGGCAGCCCTGTCCCCGAGCCCACAGCCCCGCCAGCCCGCCCCAGGGCACCGGCCTATCCAGGGTGATCCCGGGAGACGCCGCAAGTCACCTGAATGGCCCCAGCTGTCCAGCTGTCTCCCCCGATTCACCCCCCAGCAATGGGACCCCAGCGCACCTGCTGTCCCCTGGCATGGACAGGCTGGCCCAGCGCAGCCCCCCGGGCGCGCCTGTCCACAGCCCGGCCTGCGCCAGCTGCAGAGCGACAGCTACGCTCAGGAACCCAGCCCCCTACAACGGGCACCTGCCCAGTGACAGAGCCGAGCTGGTCCCAGGCCCCCTGGCCCGCTGCCCCAATGGCAGCCCCCTCCCAAGCCCCATCACCTCCTACTGCCCCTCCGACCTGCAGTGCTCCCCGACCCCTGCCTTCCCCATCGCTACAGCCTACTACCCGGGCGGGGAGAGGAGCCCGCCGCCCCCGGGCTCCCCCAGCCAGTGCCATGCCCGCGATTCGCCGCAGCAGCCGCCGTTGCCCGAGAAACGCCACACGCCAGCGGCTGGCAACTGGGAGAGGAGCTCGCCCCCAGGACGGGGCACCGGGACGGGCCACCACGTCACCTTCGCGCCCGACACCGCCAGGCCAGACCCAGGTAGGAGATGGGCTCCGCTGTGGGGATGGGAGGACGGCGCCAGGGTCCTTTCATAATCTGCCAGCCCAGGGAGTGAGGATCTGAGCTGCCCCACAGCCAGCACTTCTGCCCCGCTCCCTACAGCGCCACCTACTGGGAGAGTCCGGGCAGAATAGCTGGGAACTCCCCCTATGCCAATGCTCCTGCCCCGATCCCTACAGACCCCCATTCTGAGAGGGACTGGGCTGTAAGTCAGGAGTTCCCCCTATGGCCAGCGCTCCTGCCCCACTCCCTACAGCGCCCCCTGCTGGAAGAGGTGGGCTGGAAGCCAGGAGCCATTGTGACGAATGTCACGCCCCTCCCCGTAGCACATGAAGGAAATTAGCTAAGCCAGCGGCTAGGGACGGGGCATTTGCTTTTCATCCTGTTTTCCCCGGGTCGTATGCAAAGCAGCCAGGGAAGAAAATACAAAGCAATGCCGGAAGGCGAGAGACCCCCAGTTTAGTAGGTTCCCGCTTGAGACGTGAGCACGGTTTTCTTTCACCAGCGTCCCCGTCCGGCTCACCGGGGGCCCGCTGTTCCCTTTCAGACACGCAGCCGGAGAGCCACAGCAACGTCAAATTTGTCCAGGATACGTCCAAGTTTTGGTATAAACCCAACCTGTCCCGGGACCAAGGTACAGTGTGCTGGGGGCGGGGCTTACCTTGATTCAGTTCACACACGGGTTGGTTAGAATTTAGCAGCAGCTGTTTTATATATTTTTAAGTAGGAAAAATCTTTCCCTGTCCCTCCACTCCTGCTCCAGGCTGCACTCAGCTTCCAGAGGTGGGACTAGAACCTAGAGGGCCAAATCTCACCTGCTCTAACCAATAGACTCGACTCCCATCAGAACCCAGGAGTCCTGACAGCTGCCACGCCTGCTCCAGCCGCTAGAACCCAGTACCTCCCAAAGCTGGGGATAGAACCCAGGAGTCCTAACAGCTGTCACCCCCCCTGCTCTAACCACTAGACCCCACTCCCATCCTACAGTTGGGGATAGAACCCAGGAGTCCTGGCTCTCAGTCCCTCCCCCACTTAACTAGTAGGCCACACACCCCTCCCATGGGGCTAGAGACCCCGACATACAGAACCATCCAGGCCACCAGGAGCATCCTCAGAGCTCGGCTGTCCGGTCACCCCAGTCAGTCTGTATGGAGGGGCAGGCTGGGACGTGGAGCCTGAATTCCATCCCGGCCAGGGCCAGGCAGCAGGCACTGTCTGGGCATGAGCTGAACCCCTGTGGGGCAGGAGGCAGCGTGCCCCCCAGAATGGCACCACACCTGCAACACTGGGCTTGGCTGCTAGGGGAGCCACGGGAGGGAGCCGTGGTTCTCTGCACAGATCCGCTGTCGTGGGGGGCATAGGCAGGGGGTGACGGCTGGCACAGGAGGCTCAAACAGGCTCTTCCCCTCCCTGCCGAGCAGCCATCGCCCTGCTGAAGGACAAGGAGCCCGGCTGCTTCCTCATCCGTGACAGCAATTCCTTCCAAGGCGCCTACGGGCTGGCTCTCAAAGTGGCGACGCCCCCGGCCAACTGCCTCACCCTCCCTTCGAAAGGTAAGAACATGCCCAGGCAGCCACCGTCCGGGGCACGCTGGGCATGCTGCACAGACACCCCCGGCTGAGCCCCGCAGCAGGAAGCAATCACCATTACCCCCAGGTTGTAGGTGGGGAAACTGAGGCACAGAGCGGGGCAGGAATCTGCCCAATGATCCTGTGCCAGAGCTGGGAAGAAAACCCAGGAGTCCTGGCTCCCAGTTCCCCCGCCCCAGCTCTAGCGACTAGACCCCGTTCCCATCCCAGAGCCAGGAACAGAACCTAGGAGTCCTGACTGCCAGCCCCCTCCCCTGCTCTACTAGCCCTTCCATTGCCCTTTGGGAGCTTGTGCCCACCCCATTGCCAGGGCACCAAGGAGGAGGCATGGGGCTCGGGGAGGGGCAGCGGGGCAGCAGCGACGGTCTCTCACCCGGCTGGGTCCCTGCCCCAGGTGACCCCATGGAGCAGCTGGTGCGTCACTTCCTGATTGAGACAGGCCCCAAGGGTGTGAAGATCAAGGGCTGCCAGAACGAACCCTATTTTGGTGAGTGATGGGGGCGGGGGGGGACCCCCACTCCTGTCCATCAACTCCCCAGCCCTTGGCATGTCAACCACAGAGCGATCGGCACCCGCAGCAGGGGGCATCTCGCCACCCTAGCCTGTCCCAGGCATGGAGCTATGCCTTGGGACTTCTGCGAAGACGCCAGCTCATCCCTTACCCCACCTCTTGGGGCTTCCGCCCCCCACCCCCTCACTGCCAGCAGGGGGGAGCCTGGGGTGCATTGGCGGGGGGAGGGGCAGCAGGCTGGACCTGCTTCGGGGTCTTGGAGGGGGTGAAAGCAGAAGGATATCAGAGGGGGGGCATTGGGGAGCAAAGGGCATCGAGGAAGGGCCCCAGGGT